TAGTTAGATGTATACTTTATTGACGAAGTACTTTAACCACTATAAATTCATGTATTCATATTTTTATTTCCCCCAAGCTTCCACCAAAATTTTAATTGTCCATTCACCCTCTCTTGGCTATTTAATTCAATATAATTAGTGATTTTCAACCTATCAGTAAGACTTCAAACTTCAATTGAGCCATTTATGCCTATTTGAAGAATATGATGAAGCTATTTGTTCAAGCAAGTGATTTGGGAGCATAGAGCATCATATGATGAAAGAGCCTTCTAATCCATCTAGAGAAATGAAAGACCATAGTGAAAAAGAAAAGAAGATGTTTCAACTTAACGCTAAATCCATGCACATTTTATTTTGTGCACTTGGCCCTAATGAATATGAAGGAGCATCTTGTTCCAATTCAAAGGATATTTAGGATAAGCTTGAAGTTAATCATGAAGAAACCAATGAGGTAAGAGAAACTAAAATTAGTCTTCTCAATCATAATTGCAAAAATTTAAGATTAGACCGAATGATGATATCAAAACTATGACTGATAGATTTTCGATTATTGTCAATGGTCTCAAAGGATTTTCAATCCCACCTTTTACCTTTATAATCGAGGCCCCTAGCTTTTTCAATCCCACTTTTTACCTTTATAATTGAGACCCTTAATTTTTACAGTCCCACTTTTTACCTTTATAATCAAACTCCTAATTTTTCCAATTCCATAAAATTCTCAATTTCCTATCCCTTTCTTAATCATTTTCATTAATTCATTTAAATTTCAAATTAAATCTAATCATATTTTTCATCTTTTTTTTTCAAATTGCATTCTTCAATTTATCAAATATTATTTAACTTTTAGTCTTCTTTAATCTCAATCTAACGACAAAATAATAAATTATTCTTTATTTTCCCATTTATTGGTCAAAATCAATATCTGAATCATACCCAAATTCATTTTTTTATTTATTCTCTTAGTTGTATTTAATGTGTTCTTTTAACAAAATAATGAAAACAATGCTATAAAAATTTAATCATTTTCTACAATTTATTAATATAATATTAAATTAATTTTCCAAAATAATAGAATATACTTTCATTCTATAAGGATTTAGTTTTTAGTTTCGCTCAGAGCCCTGAAAATGTCTGTGACTACTCTGTCGATATTCAACCCTACAGTACCGATACTCTAAGTGTTTGGGCAATATTTGTTGTGGAAAATTTCATCTCAACGATTACATTAACTCCACAACTACTCAAATGACTAGAATTGATTGAAGGGTATAAAAGCAATATCCTCTGCCATATAATATGATAAAAGATCATAAAGAAATCTAGAGAATTCAATTTGAGCCAAAAAGAAGCCAATTTGTATTCATATTCCTTTCGTTTTCAAAGGAAACTTGTGTACCCATTTTTATTTATCTCTCCAAATGTCTTATTTGTGCAAACGTATTTTTTGTGAGGTTTTTCTAAGTTTACTAATTGTAATTTTTCTCTTTGATATAGTTTCTCCAGAATCCGGTATATAATTCTTGAGGGGGTTTATAAGGTTACACCTTATCCACAAAAGTTGCTATAAATAGTGAATTTGTAAATACTTAGTGTTGATAGCTAAGGTAGTGAATGTGAATTTCACTGAGTAAGTTGAACCACTATAAATTATTGTGTTCATATTTTTATTTCCCTACAAGCTTCTATAAAAATTTTAATTTTTAATTGACCCCCTCTGAACTATTTGATTCGATCGATTGACTCAATAATTACTTTACACAAAAATCACCTGAAGGAAGCTCCTTGCCCAAAGGTCTCCAAGCTTGGCCTTATTTCTAGATTTGAAAGGGTTTTCTTGAAATTTTGCTTACCAAACAAATGAATTGAAACAAAATCACTCCAAATGATCAAAGAAAGGTTAAGGGATGGATTTAAAGAGATACATATGCTCAAAAGCCTATAAACCCTTCCTAAACCCTCTTTGAGACCAATATTTTTAACTTGAGTACCTCAAAAGTCATTATTTGAAGTTCTCATTTGAGTATTTAGGCTAAATTAAGTAATTGAAGCGAATTCACCTTTTCAGAACTTACGGTTTGTTTGATTAAAGTTTAGACTTGGATACGTATGTGCTTTTTGATTATACAATATCAATGCATCAATTTTGAAATATAGACAATCAAGGGATTTATCATTAATACATGAAAAATAAAACTAACAAATCACAAAGATTTCACAGCTAAGAAATAGGGGGGGGGGATATTTACGAAAAAGGAAAGTGAATCGTTGAATATAGAGGGGACGGCGTACGTCAAGGAAACGCTCTTAGCGTAAGATAACTGGTCTATTTTTGTTGGAATTTCCTTCACCATTTGCCAAATTTCTTCTTCGATTTTGATTTTGATTGTTATTTTTGGTGTTATCTTTCTTCAATTCTTTGGTATTCTTTGTTTCTTTTTGCTTGGGATGGATTGTAAGAAGCTCTTTAATGTTCACCAGGATCATGCCCTATAAATTGTTCCTCATATTATTCAAGATGGTTCTGTTACTGTCCAACCTACGACCGAGGTACTGAATGAGCGCATCAGTGTTTGGAGGTATTCGTTGGTTGCTCAGTTTCTTGGAAGGTCTCCTAATTTTGGTTTGCTTCAACAAATCGTGAATGTACTTTGGGGGAATATGGGAGAAGTTGAAGTGAAGCTTACAGGGGATAATTTGTTCATGTTTTATTTTCCAAATAATACAGCTAGGAAGGAACTGAGTTCTAGAGAATGCGCCTTGGCATGTGCAGAATTTCCTGATGATTATGAGGAAGTGAGAGCCAGGTTTGAAGAAATTGGATTTTTAGCTGGATCATATCCATGTTTGGGTGAAGTTGACTTGTGTTCCTTTAGAGCTGTTCACTCAGAAAGGCCTGAGCTACATTGCTAGTGCATTGGGGATCCCTCTTTACATGGATAACATCACTGCCTCGCGTCAATTTGTTGTTGAGGAGTGGAAGTACCTTGATTCACTGCTAGGTACCTTAGGTGTAATACCTTCTCCCACTCTGATAAAATTTGTGCACGTCGTAATGGCAAGGAGATGCAAGTTTGGTAGCCAAAGTAGACTGATCCTTCGAGTAGTGGTCAAGCTCCCCAGTTTTCAGGTGCTGATATGAGGGGGAAAGTGCTTGAATGTGAGGGTTCTATTGATAAGGAGGCTGTTGAGTCTGTTGGTGAGTTCATTGCAGAGGTAGCTTTGGCAGATGTTGCAAGTATTCTTGATAAGGAAACTGATTTGGGTGTGGATTCTGATAAAGCCCTGATGTTATAGTGTTTTGGAGGGGATGAGGTGGTTGCTGAGGTGGATTTTCCACCTTTACCAGTTGCTAAATCTTCTTCTTCAAAAAAAGAGAAAGGGTAAAAAAAGGGATGCCGATAAAGCACAGCTGGTTGGTTCTATGAGTAAGTTTACAGTGTTGGATCAAGTTAATCCTAAGGCTTTTATTCAGAAGATTCCTCTTAGGAGACCTAGGGCTGCTGCCGCAAGTTTTACTTAATTGTGAATGATTTGAAGGCTAAGAAAAAAGAGACTTTGGAGAAAGTCAAGAAAGTTGGCGTGGGAGTTACTCTTTCGATTAGTACTACCTCTTTGCCTCGTTCTTTATGATAGTGTACTTTTGGAACATTAGGGGGTTGAATAATCCTCTCAAGCAGAGGAAGGTAGTTTAGAGGTTCACTGAGTTACAAATTGATGTTGCTTGTTTAATGGAAACTAGAGTTAAAGCTAACAATAAGCAGGCATTCTTGATTCTCAATTTTCTGATTGGGAGTGTTGTTCGAATTATAATTTTTCTGATAATGCTAGAGTTTGGTTTCTTTGGAAAAATTACATGATATTTCAGTTTGTAAGGTGGCTGATCAGTCAATCTTTTTTCAAGGTTCCTTTAATGGTTTGAAGTTTTTCATCACTGCAGTTTATGGCAATAATGATGGGGTTACTCGTAGGCTTTTATGGAAGCAGCTGCATGACTTGGTGGGTATTGTTGGTTCATCACCTTGGATTATTGGTGGTGACTTCAATATTATTCTTCACTCAGATGAATCTTCTAATTTTGATACTGTGGGATTTTGATCTTCAACGGATATGAGAGATTTCCATGATTGCTTGGCTGACTTATCTTTGGTGGATCATCCTCACTTTGGTCCCTTGTTTACTTGGTCAAATAAATAAGTTGTTAGGTTCTTGGCCAATAATCTTGACAGGGTTCTTGTAAATTCATCTTGGCCTGCAGCCTTTCATGATTCTTATGTTGAGTTTCAAGCACCAGGCACTTAGGATCATTGCCAAGCTATTGTATGGTTTAGTAAAGAGAGCCTGGTTCATAGGACAAAACCTTTTAAAATTTTCAATTTCTAGGTTGCTCGGCCTGATTTCCTTAGTACTGTTGAAAGTTCTTGGAAGGAACATGTTTTGAGTTGTAACCCTATGCACTTTTTATTTCTTAAATTGAAAAGATTAAAAGGGTGTCTAAAGGCTTTGAATAACTCTCACTTTGAGGATATCTATTCTCGGGTGAAGTTAAATAAGGAGCGGTTGGAGAAGCAACAACTTTTGAATCTGTTTGGAAGTGTTTTAGGTGATGTTATTCAAGAGAAGGCCTTATTTGATGAGCTCTGCGAGCTTGAGAAGGCAGAGACTATGTTTTATAGGAAGAAAGCGAAAGTCAGGTGGCTGCAAGAGGGGGATCAGTCTACTAAATTCTTTCATTCAGCTTTTGTGGGCAGGCCTAAGAAGAACACTATCATGGCTCTACAAGATGAGTAGGGGACTAAATTGGATTCTTTTGAAGCTATGTCTTTTGAAGTTTGCAATTTTTTTCATCAAACATATTAGGGCTGTAATTTTTTGATGGGTCTGTTGTTGAGGATGACTTCATTTTTGCGGTAAAACATTTCTTTGACACTTCCCTAATGCATCCTACCTTCAATTCAACTATTGTTCCTTCGATGCCCAAGTCAATTAATTCGAGCATAGCTATGGATTTCTATCCCATCTCTTGTTGCTTAGTGGTCTATAAAACTGTTACAAGGATATTGGTTGATAGATTAGCTGCTTTCTTTCCTAGTATGGAATCTCTAAACCAGACTGCCTTTGTGAAGGGTCGTTGCATTATGGACAATACTCTGCTGGCTCAGGAGGTGGTTAAGGGTTATGCCAGTAAGACTCTTTCCTTTAGGGTTGCTCTTAAAATTGATTTTCAAAAGTCATTTGACTTGTTAGGTTGTGATTTCATTCTACGTTCTAGAAGCTGACTGTCAAGGGTTTTTTGGGGTTGGGTTAAAGCTTGTTTAACCTCTCCTCGGTTCTCCATGTCACTTAATGACAGTCTTGTTGGGTACTTTAAGGGTACTACAGGCATTAAGCAAGGGGATCCTCTTTCCCCTTACCTATTTGTTCTCATTATGAATGTGCTCTCTAAGGTCTTGGACATGGCTGCAGCTAAGGGGTTATTCCACTTCCACTCTAATTGCAAGAAGATGGGGCTCACACATTTGTGTTTTACGGACAATTTGTTGATCTTTTGCAAGGGCTTCTTGGACTCGGACGTTTGGGTTCAATGTATTTTGGAAGAGTTCTATTTGATGTCGGGTTTAAAGTTAAATGCGACTAAAAGTGAACTATTTTCTTCTGGGGTCCCTGCATGTCAACTGGAAGCTATTAAAAATATTAATGGTTTTAAGCTTGGTCGGCTTCCTATCAGGTACTTGGGTGTTCCCCTTATGACCCACAAACTTATTGAGAAGGCTGTTAGCCCTTGTTGGAGAAAATTATGGCTAAACTAGGGCAATGGTTTAGTAGGCTGTTAAGCTATGTAGGGAGGCTTCAGCTCATAAAGTATGTGTTGATGAGCATTGCAAATTTTGGGTGTAGGGAGCTCATTCTTCCCATGTCAGTGAAAAAGATGATTAGCCAACAATGTATGAGGTTCTTTTGGAAGGGTCAAGATTCAAGTGTTGTTGGTGCTAAGGTTGGCTGGCAACAAGTGTGTTCTTTGAAATCTGAAGGTGCATTGAGCTTTAAAGAATTCATTGTTGGAACAAAGATTGGTTTATGCAGCTCATAAGGAACTTGCTTGCAGGTGAAGGCTTCCTTTGAGTGGCTTGGGTGCATTCATATGTTCTTAAGGGAACTGATTTCTGGCTTGCTGACTGTAAGATAAACGCCAGCTGGAGCTTAAGGAAGCTATTCAAACTAAGGGTAGAGGCTGCTCGTATCTTTACTTCTGTTTCGAGCCTCCAGCAGGTGAAGGCTACTTTGGATTTGGGGTGAGATTAGGGGAAAGACTCCTCGTGTCCATTGGAAAAAACTAATTTGATTTTTGATGCATATTCCTAAGCTTTTTATTATTGCATGGATGGCTATTCTTGACAAGTTTAGTAAGAGAGATGGGCTGTTGAGGATGAATATTGTGGCCGACCCGCACTGTATGAAATGTGCTTCTGCATTAGAATCGATGGATCAACTATTTCTTTTTACTTTGGGGTAGGATTCTGTGCTTGTGTGGTTTGAGGATGACTGTTACGGGGGCTTGTGATTATTTGAAGGGGAAGTCTTTGCTGGTTTTTATTTTGAAAATTGCTTGGAGTGCTAACATATAGTGTTTGGGAGGAGAGGAATTTTTTATAGTTTACGGGGAAAACTCACAACTACTGAGGGGGTGTTTGGTTCAAGGATTGTGGGATTCCCATGGGATGGGAATCCCACATTCCCATGTTTGGTTGGTCAGGAATCTCATTCCCGGTAATGTTTTATTACCAATAGTAGATTGTTTGGGGTATATTACCGGGAATGTCATTACCTCCCTTCCCTTAGGTATTATAACATTACCGGCGTTTTGGACTAAAATGCCCTTAATTTTTTTTTTTCAAAAATATCCTTCTGTCATTGAATAATAAAAATTCTACGAAGGTTAAATTACAAATTTATCCTTAAATTATTTTGGATTTACAAAAAAAAATCTATAGTTAAAATTTTATATGAAGTTCAGGGATTAAAATTTTTTTTACCCTTTCATTAAACCTTTTTTATATTTTTAATTTTGTAAAACAATTATATAAATATTATGAATTTAATTTTTTTAAAGAAAATATATAAATATTTTACAATTTGTAATATTATACAAATATATAATAAGGACAATTTGGTCAAATATACATTTCAATAATCTTTTATTCCTTTAACCAAACACGGTAATCTTACATTCATGCTAAACCAACAAAACACAAAATACAACATTCCCAGTAATCATATTCCCTGGTAATCTTTTATTCCCACTGGTAATCTTACATTCCATGAACCAAACGCACCCTGATGAAATTGTTGATATTATAAAGAATATAGTTAATATTAAAGCTAGGAAGAAGAGTATAGACTGCTTAGATCATGTAAATATCAGACTTAGAACGGGGTTGCCTAACTTTTCTGGGTTAACCCTCGTACTTTGTAATTCTGCGGTAGTTCTTTCTGCTTACTTGGATAATGGAAATAAATTTATCCAAAAAAAAGGATTTATAATTAGATAACATGCAAAATTAAAAGAAATAAAAATCGAATTCGTTAGCAAGATTAACACACTTGAAACTTAGCCTAGATCCATCAGAGTCAAAAGCTGAACACATAAATTAAGAAAACAGAAAGAAAAGGACAATGTCAACCTTATACACATAACATACAAAATATACTAAGGAAAAGAAAAATTAAAAATGGTAGCTTCGAGACGCATACCTCTACTCTCTACTCAAACATTCGTTAATTCGAGATACATGAATTGGTTCAAGTGGTAAGTAATTTGATATCGGTAAAGCAAGGTCTCGAGTTCGAGTCATTGTATATGCAGAAAATCCCTGTTAGGAGACTTACCCACTAAAGCCTGGTGTGCGACGCGGATCGATCCGGATTAGTCAAGACGAAATCTTCAAACTGAGAGGGCAAAAAAAATTCTAATGAAAACCTAATATATATATATATATATATGGAAATCCAAACAAAAGTATAAAAGACATTGCTTTGTTGTCTCAATATGAAATCTCAAAATTACTAATTGGAGCCTAAGATTAATCCCATGTGTTGCTTTTAATGAGAATTATAGATATAGATTTTAATGAATTATATTAATTTAGGTAATTATTTTACGTGATGTACCTATTTTAAAATCAGATTGAGAATGGACAAAGGCCATTTGTAGCATAAGTGTTAATTCCCAAGCAAATTAGACATTAAACAAGAAGTAGAAGACTCTCATCTACTAAAGCTAGATGTGTGATTCGGATAAGTTTAGATTAATCAGGGCAAAATCCTGTAAACTAAAAGCAAAACAAAAAAGGAAAAACAAGTAGGAGACCCCAGCCGGATTGTTTATAATCAAGTCACCACTGTTCATAGCAGCAATCTAGTCCACTGCTGCTAGTGATGACGGTAACTGATAGGCAACCGGTGGGAGAAAAATAAATAAAAAAGAGGTGTAGGTTTTGACAAGGCATTGATATAGTTTCTGGCATTGAATTAAAGCAATTGAATGAAAACAACAATATTCAACTACCATTAAATAATCACAGCTGCCTGTCGAGAGATTATGATGGGTGTCTTAATGAACCGATGCTTGCGTTCATTCATTGATTTAAATCATCAATGTAGTTCAATGTCTTGAAAGGGGGTGTTGTAGTAAAGAATGTGGTTGAGTCGCTGAAGGTATTGGCTAAGTGATCATTTCTTGTGTTAATATAAAGATTGTCCGATTGTTTCCAAGGTCAAATTCATTGTCATCATTTTGTAAAATTTATTAAGGGCAAATTTCATCATTGAACTTTACTTCCTCTCTTATTTTACTCACTAAATTTTAAAATTTTTCAATTTCCTCACTGAATTTAATATATTGAGTTTTTCTGGTCACTCTGCTAATAAATAGTTAACGACGTTAAAACAATAAAATTTTCACCAAGAAAAAGTCATTTTGCATCTATATAACAGTCCATTTATAACGGCGTTAGTGAGAAAACGACCAAGTGACCAAAAAAACCCAATGTATAAGTTCAACAAAAAAATTGAAAAGATTTAAAGTACAATGAGTGAAATAGAATATAGAGTAAAGTTCAATTACAAAATTTGTAATTTACTCTTATTTTAATTGCATCTTTTTAAGAACTTGTCATTTTTAAAATTAGTTACATCAAATATCCCCCAATTTTTAGGATTTAATTATATTTTAAAATTAGAGTTAATTATATTATATGTCCTCTAATTATAATCTTCATTTAAAATTGATCCTTAAACTTTTAAATATTATAATTTCATTCCCAAACTATAATTCTCATTCTAAACTAGTCCTTAAACTTTTGAAAATTATAATTTTATCCCTAAACTATGACCCTCTTTCTAAATTGGTCCTCGAACTTTTGAATATTCCACTTTCATCCATAAATTCATCAAAATATATAATTAATTTCAACCATAGTTTAACTTAAATTTTTTTCAAACATATAATAATATAACTTGTTCTAATGTTTTTGGGATGTGATTAGTATAGTTTGGGATGTAATTGGAATGTTCAGAAGTTTAAGGACTAATTTTGAATTAGAGTCATATTTTGGGGATAAAATTGGAACATTTAAAAGTTTAGGGACTAATTTAAAATGAGAGTCATACTTTGAGGATATATGATGAAATTAACTCTTTAAAATATTGTTAGTTTTAAGGTTAAATAACTTATTCCCATATTTCTATTTTAATTCCATTCTTAAACTCGTTGAGTGATCTTAGTAGTTAAAAGAAAATATCGTTCTCCCTTATAATCACATCAGATTATTCAAAAAACAAAATATTCTGTCCTTGAAAATGTGATGCTTCAGTAACTAAATGCTTGAATTTGGAATATATGAACTGGATTTGAAAATAAGTTGGCTGAATCTCTAATTGATCTTGTATTTGTTGGGAGTTTTGAACTTCCCTAATTCGGCGGAATGGAACGAAGATTATACAAGTTGATAAACTTGCAATTCTCCTTTGCAAATGACCAAAGCTTGCCTTACAATGAACTTGGTCTTAGCCTATTTCAATAGGTTCGTGTTCAAATTTAGCACCTGCAACTCGTACCCTATTTCCACACTTTGACTTTTAATTTCACTTTTGTTTCATTAATCAAATTCAGAAAATAGAAGCAAACTCTCATTAGAAACCATCATCTGATTCACTAGAAGTAGTAGTAGACATCTCCGAGGGCATGAATTGTGTACGGAAATTGATTAATTTAAGGGGATTCCTCCTAGGGGGTGTTGGTGGTGGTGATGATCCTGCACTGTGTGTTCCATTCGTAAGCTGCAGTTTTCTTGTAATGTCTGCACGAACTCGATCAACCATGTCCAGAAAATCTTTAACAATAACGAAGAGTTGAAGCGGACTGGCTCCTCTGGCTTTGGATGCTCCCGCTTGGTAATAATCTGTTGTCTTCTTCACGAGTTCCATGACCCTTGTTTGTTCCTCTCGAACTACCTTCAGCTCATCTTCACATTCCTCTAAGAACCCTTTAAGTTCCATTACAAAACCAGTTCCCTCACTGTTGCCGCATTGTGCTAGAAGTTGTTTGCTTTCTGCAACACGGCTTGTCAGGTTGGAGCACAGATTGATGAAACTCTCGTATTCTATGGTAGCTGCTGTCTTTACATTGGAAAATTCAGACCCTAAGGTTGCTAATGCTGGTAAACCAAGCATCAAATATTCTCGGTCTTTCTCTTCTGGCATCAGGTTAACTGAATTCACATCACCATTAGTGTAGAAAGTCCTGTTGATAGTATGTCGCCGACCCTCGGACCGAGCAACTTGTTCGACGACGAAGTGAAGAAGCGTCGTCTTTCTGTCGGTGCTTTTGACATCAGAGAGTTTTTGAAGGGCACTAAGGTTGAAACCCAGTGCATTTCCTCTTGCTGTTCCGGCATTCATTCTGTTACCGGCTTTCAGGATAGCCTCCAGGAGTTTCAAGAAGAGTCCCCGGTTTCTTAGCTCCTTGCAGGCCGACTCAAGTGTTTGCAGGGATTCCTTGAGGTTCAACAACTCCGAATCATAATTTGATCTGAAAAGCATCACTTTGATACGTATAAACGCTGAAGGAACAGCTTTCAGGACACCATGAAAGAATGATTCCGCGTCTGGAAGTCTCATAGGGTTGCCATTGAAATGGATGATTTTAGCTTCTTCCTCTCGGGTCGGAGCAATCTTGGTTAGTTTCTCGAGGACCTCAGCACTGAGTCCCTGGCCTTCGCTGAGTGCACCGATGATTTCCGTCTTAGATATCCCGAGAGATCTCAACACTATTGCACTGTTCTGTGACTTGCGGGGATCAAGAATGAATGTCTGAGCCGTCGTGGTGTTACCGGAACAACTTGAAGTTGACGATAGGTTATTACTATCGGGCGATTTGCGATTGGCAGTAGTGTATCCGAACAAAGTTTCTATTAGTTCATCATCAAATCTGAAGATAGAATAACAACCAGTAAGAAGGCAAAGAAACACAAAGCATGTATGTGTTTTAAAGACACGACATGATTACCTTAGAGATCCATCTTTGATCTGATCCCAAACCATGGAATGGTCAGAATCAGCTATAACCTTATCCCAGTGCAGAGGTCTCAACTTCAAGCCAACCCCTCTCCAGTTTTCAGGCGACGTGCTTGGCCAATCCCTGTTGTTTGCTGTACCTCTTGACGTTGTTGGGGGTTTTAGTACTGGAAAAGAGATGCCTGCTGCTGGAGGTGGGGGTGGCGCTGCAGAATTTGTTCTGGCCTCGTTTAGTGGTGTAGGTTGTGTTATTGATGGAGGGGGAGGAGGAGGAGGAGGGTTCGCTGTTGTTTGCTTCATTGAAACCATTGCCGCCGATGGTTCCGGTGGTCGTGTTGTTGAAACTGGAGGAAAAATCACATCAGATGGTGGCTGATTGAGGAACTCAAAATCCTCTCGAGATTTTGATTTTTTTGATCTCCCAATCGCAGTATCTATCCTCTTCTCTCCTTCATCTTCTTCATAGCTAGGATTGAACATCACCTTCGGGAACTCATTCTTCAGTCGTAGATCATCAAGTTTCTTCATACCAAGGCCATCTCTGCCGTTTTCTTCAACTACCAATCCTTTCACTTTTTCACCATACTTGATGAACTCATCGGGGATCACCACGGCTTCTCGACGAAAGCTTGATTCATACTTTCCTCTCCGCCACAATCTCCATCTTCCAATCTTTCTGAAAAAGAAGAAGAAGAAGAAGACAATCAAAGCAATAACAAGAGTAGTTGCAACAGTTGCAACAATGGCTTTCACAACTTTCTCTTTCGAAGATACAGATACATGAGCGTGCGGCATTTCCATGGGAGGCGATGAAGGTTCAGATAATGCCATAACATAAGAGGAGGAAAACAAGAAGAATACTAGAGTACATGGAAAACGCCATGGCTGAACCATGATAACCTGAGGGAAAACTATGGATCAAGATGCTAAAGTAGAAGAAAAGTGATCTGTTTTATTTATTTATTTTTATTTTTTTTGCAATGTGATGTGAGTAATTCCAGTCCTGCAAATTGGTAGTCTTTTGCTGACAGTTTCAATGAAGGTAGTTGCTTGCTGGTCGATTTGTTTTCTCTCTAGATTGTCTTCCTTTTAATGCTACATTGCCACTCTTTCTCAAATTTGCATTTATTTGTATTTTTTATTAGTTGTCAAAATATAAATATAATAAAAAGTATTAAAATATCCAATTAATGTAAACATTATATTTTAAGGGTAAAGTACACAAATGGTCCCTTGACTATAGGATATTGCTTTGTTGAGTCATATGACTATTAAAAGTTACAAATGGTCACCCGACTATAGGGAGTTACTTTGTTGAGTCTCTTGACTATTAAAAGTTACAAAATGGTCACTCGACTATTCATTATGTTTCAAACTCGTCATTTTTGTTAAAAAAAACTAATGACAGTCTGAGCTGGATGTTAACATGTTGACTGAGATATGATAAAATCTGATTTCATGATATCAAACGACTATCATATCTCAGTTAGCATGTTAACGTTCAACTTAGACGACCGTTAATATTTTAACGAAAAAGGACGAATTTGGAACATAATGAATAGTCGAGTGACCATTTTTTAACTTTTAATTGTCAAGGGACTCAACAAAGAAATTTCCTATAGTTAGAGATCATTTTATAACTTTTAATAGTTGGAGACTCAATAAAACAATATTCTATAATTGGGGGACCATTTGTGTAATTTACCCTATTTTAACTAAAGAATCAATTAGCTTTATTAAATAAATAGGAAGCAAATACAACAAAATTACAATCGCAAAAAAATCTATAAAAATTAAAGTAGATTTAAGATTGTTCAAAACTTGATGTAACTTGAAAAAAATATTTTTGTATTTCAAGAAAATCAAATTTTGAGTTTGAGTTGAGTTTGAACTAAAAAAGTTCAAGTAGCTGAAAAATAAAAAATTAAAACGGTATCGTTCTAGTCTTTAGCCAAGTAATTTGGTTATTTTGCGATTTGGTTCTTGTTGTTTTTATTTCTTCAACTCCATTTTAAGTTTATTTTTGACCAAATTTGAACCACATGCATCTAAATCATAGTAGAATACATATGTATCTCCAATTAAAATTTTTGAGGTTTTTTTAATTTAGTCCCTCAACTTAATATGGTTTCCTCATATCTTCAATTCATCATTTGTTTTAACTTCATTTTTTTACTAAGTTTGAACCGCATGATCCTCTACTACTATAGAATACTTATGAAACTATAAATCCTATTTTTAAAAATAGTTTTTCATTTTTTTAATTTAATCCTTCAATTTTGTATTTTGTTCAATTTGATCGTTCAATTGTAATTTTATGCAAATTCTTTCTTTCATCAATACCTTGATTCCTCTATAATATTGTCAATACTTTATCCTCAAAATATATTCTTTAAAAAATAACATTATAAATATGATTTAAAATTTTAGATGGTATTTGATTTATTAAATAGTATTACAAATTTTATATGCACGTGTAAAAAATAATATGAAGAAATATATATGTGTAGACATTAATTTTAGTCCAGCCCAAGGCTCAAATTACAAACAAAGGACCAAAACATGTAGACCCAAAATAGGATCCAGGTCAAACCTAGATCAAGTCTCAACTAACTTGGTCAACCTCCTTCAACTACTCATTTTTGCTTCTCAACTACGTCCTCAAGATTCTCCACTATGTCGAGATTGCTAGAGGATCTTGATCTCTATTTGTAGGCTTTAAACTGATAAGAAAGCAAAATTGTAGCGGGTTGCCACAAAGCTACAAGGAAAGATGTAGTGAGCTACATGAATTTTTTTTAAAAGAAGAGAGAAAATAACTGCAACAAAAGGGCAAGGAAAAAAAGAACTGAAGAGGGAAAGCCATGGAATCTCGACCATGGCTCGATAAGAGCAGCAACTACTTATCGCACCCGACACTGCTACAAAGTAGACATTATTACCTACAAGTCCCCACCAACACCTAACCCACCTAAGCCTGCCGCCCTCGAGGAGCCTTACCACAACACCAGATATCTCATTGCCCTAGCAACAAACTACTATGCCCCCACAACTCGAAGGCCTAATCGAATATTCCATCCACCCGATTGCTCACCACAATAGCCATACCATACCCTCCCTTCAATAACAAGCCCCTCACCAACGTATTATTCACCCCTTATGATCAAGCCACATGCCTTATCCCAACATCATCCACTGCCTACTTGATTAACCCAAGACTACAATCTTATATTTTCCAACACACATCAGAGTACATTATCCAAAAACGGAGGAATATCAAACCCCACGATGCATGAAAATCCTCTATGAGAGAACTCCTACGACCAATGGCAAGTCCCTACATTAAAAAAAGAGAAGTAAGACACTTTGAAAAGTTAAAGGCAAAAAGAAGAAAAAAGCTTACCTTCCGACTTTAGGTTTTTCTCTATAATCGGAGGCTCATTTCATCATTCCAAATGGTAACAAGAAACATCATATTTAAAAATGAGCCTTATTCGACGATAGAAACATAGATCGAAAGTAAAGAAGAAATCTTAGATAGAATATAGTGTGAGTGATCAATGACTTGTGTTCAATCTAGATACAAAAGACAAAATGATTTAGTACATAAAAGTTAATTACACAAAATTTACGTCGAACCATGACTTCTTGTAACTTAAGTAGCAACGATGCATTGCTAGAAGCCAATAATTGTTTGTAATATTAGAATTGTTCTAGATATTACCGCTAACATTATATGAACATGTAAGGGTCAAATCCTATGGTTGAAACGGACATCATTAATTGGATTACATGTGTCCAAACTCGTTTTGCACAAAAAGATATTTAAATTAAATTAATATATGTATTTGATATGTATAATATTTTAACTAAAACAAAATTATCATAATTATTGTAATTATAAATTATCGTTTATATATATATTTAAAAGAGAGACAATTATTGTATTTATAAACTCTTTTAATATATATATATATAGGGATGGCAACTCAACCCGAATCCGACGGGTTCCGATCCGACCCGATCCGATCGGGTCGGATTTTTTTTAAAAAATTTCGGGGTTCGGGTCGGGTCGGGTCGGGTTTAGGGTAAAAAATCCGACCCGACCCGACCCGAAAAATATATATAATTTTATCTTATATATTTAGGAATAATTACAATAATATCCCTCCATATATAATTTTTTTTCAATTAAGTCACTGTTTTCATTGAATTAAATTTTTTTTTTATTTCGGGTCGGGTCGGGTTTCTAAGTCATATATTCGGGTTGGGTCGGGTCGGGTGAAACATTAATTTTGTCGGGTCGGGTCGGGTCACGGGTGGAGAACCCTTTCTTCTCGGGTCGGGTCGGGTGGCCCAAAAACCCGACCCGACCCGACCCATTGCCATCCCTATATATATATAATAAAAAAATCTAATCATATTTGAAATAAGTTTTTATATTTAAAGGGAAATAATATTTGTAATTATAAAACTCCTTTAAACTATAATATTTACTTTAAAATAACATATATCTGATAGTCTTAATGGAGTTGAAATAGGCTTTTAAAAGCCATATAAAGGCATAAGATCTAGCAGTCAAATGATATTTGGTGTGTTAAATTCTCTAACAGTTAGAGAATTAAAATTGTTTGCTTCAATTGGGAAGGCTATGTAGAGGTCGAGATGTTATCATAATGGCTTGGAAATTGGAATAAAAATCGTGTGAATGGAATCAAATCCACAAGAAAACTCTGTAGCTGTAGATCGAGGTTTTCAAGATTTTAATATGTAATTTTTCATCATTTTCACCCTGATTTGTTCCTCATACAAATATCTTTAAATGAGATTGCCAGATTAATTTTTTTTCCGTTGTGCCAATAGGTGTACCGACTGTAACACCCCCAACCCGTATCCGACCCAAATCCAAGTCCGAGGTGTCACATTGACATTTTTAAAACGCTTTTCTTTACCAATTCACAAAAATCTTAAATTCATCATTTAAGAAAAATAAATACTTTACACTAATTAAGATCAATTAGTTTTACAAAACAGGTCAGAGCATATTCAACTCAATTCTAATAGTACATGCCAACTATATTCAAAAGGACAAATACATATTAATCATTATTTTTCTAATCTGAACTTCGTAAGGAAGATGCTAACCTGTCTTGCTCCTCCTAGCTCATCTTCTCGCTATCCAACCTACGTGTGAAACATTCACACGCTAAGTCTATGACTTAGTGAGGCGTAAAAACATATAATTACTAACAATGCATGCATAATCTATACTATCATGTCATATAAAAATCATACATTCTGTCATGCAACAACTATTCATCTGCACACACATCATCATTCACATTCTTATCCTTATCATATATTATTATAAGTAATCCATTTTAACAATTGATCTTGTATCTATTATGTCAGTTTATCATATAACACGCATATCTATTCTCAATGAAGCACACATAGCATCATATAATTCTTATAACATGTTTCATAGCACAAAACATGTAAATCATATGTAATATATTTGTTGTTATCCTTTTATTAGCCCATGTACACATGTGAGAACTGTAGATATGTGAGTCTATAGAGGTTGTGCACATATGTTGTCACCACAACTCATATAAATGCACCGAATTGCCAAGTAGAATTGCACCGAAGTGTCGCATAGAAATGCACCGAAGTGCCATATAAGATGTCCATAAGAACCACATAGAAAATTCCTTAGGAATCATATACATATTCCAAGGACCAAGTATGTGTCTCAAAGGACCTCATAGATGTTCCAAAGGATACATATATGTCCCGAAGGATCGCGTAGACCCTCAACTCTTGGCATGTCAACTATACCCCTAGCTCTCATGACACATAACATGGGAATTATCTTTATATCCTTTCACATATTCACATAAACATATAATTCACTTTCACATTTCAC